GCGAAGAAAATATTTACTTCTGCAAGAAACGCGCACGCTCCGTCGTGCCGAAAAAAAGCCGAGTAAAACCAAGTCGATTTAAATCTAATCTATCTCGTCGTGATAAAGTCGATCTTCGAGGAGAGACATCTAGAATCGCTAATTAGACGATGGTTATACGGGAGTGAGTTTATCCGAAAAATTTAAGAGAAAATGAATTAGACGCGCAGTGTCGACAAGTCGACTGTGAAAGTGCGAAAATCTGAATTATATAAACTTAATTTACTCACACAATTCAATTACGCATGGTGAATTGGTTCACTTTTTAAACTGTTTTTTGCATAATATCATCACATTATGCTTTGACACTTTTCAAACGGCGCATATATTTTTTCAGAGAGACATTTTTCGCGATTGGAAAATTCTCCAAGAAACATACATATATATAAAAAGCTGTCGTAAGAAATTTTTATTGTGGATAGAAATATATATATTGTTAAAAAACGTTAATTGCAAGCTACGAACAATTCGGCTCCATTGTCGAAAGAGTTTTATATGCACGCTGAATTTAATTAAATTTTTACGGCGATTAAAAAGCATTAAGAAATAATATTTTATTTTGTATAAATATTTTGTTGATAATAAACGTTACTTTTAGCTGCGAGTGTTGCCGTTATCTGTAACACATTGTTTTTAATAATACGATATCGTACATAAGCCATTTTGTAATTTTCTCGCTCAAACAAATTGTGATTCAAAAATAACGTGATTAAAATACTACATTTTATTCTTCACTTAAAAATAATTATATGTTTTTAAAATATTGATCTCCTTATCTTGCTCTCATCCGTTTGTCATCATCCTCTTGTTTCTCTGTCTTTCTTTAATATCGTAAAAATTACTTATAAATTACGTATAATTTATTCCTTCGTCTTTTATCGAAATCGAAAGACTTCCGAGATTAATGGAGGAATTCTTTTGGAGCTTCTAGATTCGCTCCACTCGCGTATATCGAACCCTTTCACATTTCCAGCTCAATTCTAAGTTCTATCTACTAAGAGCACATCTAAATTAAAAGGCTACGTTATACCTTCATTTTGCCTGACGGAATCTCCGAATCGAACTTTTCGATGCGCGATGTTTCTAATCTCTGTCGGACATTGCGCAGAAATCGACCTAATCGATACCTCGAGCAGCGGCAGGAAGAGTCCCGCCGCTCCATGGGAGACACGCGCGTTCAAAGTGTTTTCGCGAATATTTCTTCGAATGGAATATTCGGGACAATGACGAGAAATGAAGGGAAACATGCGAGTAAAAGTTAGAAATAATTTTAAAACGCTGAGTTTTCGCTTCAGGAAATATAAAATAGAAATAAATATCCGACATGACCGAATCGAAATTTTTCTCCCATTTTCGATTTCAATTTTCAATCTAACATCTATTTTGATATCTTAAGCGGTTAGATTATTTCTTTTTTAAACTGTTTACTTATAATTTTGCCGAACGCTCCTCTTTTAAACCTCTAATAAATGGTAAATCGTTTGTTTACTGCCTATTTGAGGTACAAAGTACGAGTTAAATTTCTATATAAATTAAATTCGAAATCCCCTACAATCCATAAACGTGAGAAAATTGAAGCTAAGAATAAAAGCAAAATTTCAATTCGGATGTCTGTCAATTTTGCAAAATTGCGCATCGCACGAATTTTGGTCGCTATTACAATTAAATTATCCGTGACGATCGCAACGTATCTCTCTGACTGTTCAAAAATTGATGTTGAATCTTTGACGACTTGTCTGTGTTAATGTATAAAACGTTCGCGGCTAATTACTTAACCTTGTATCTTATTCGCTCTATATTATTCCATGACATCGCGTTCTGTCTCTGAAATTATTTAACAAACTTGCCCGAAGGTTTTGCATAAATACTTCTCTCCCTAATTTATCGCGACACTTGAGGAAGAGCATAAAATCAGGCTTATAAAATAATCTTATGCAGCATAAAATGCCGCGGAAAGCATCGGATCTGTTTCGTGCTCACGAATATTAGAATTCGCGGATCGTGCAGTTATATCGGCGCGACGGCAAGCGCGAAATAGCCGAAAAGCAAACAGGAGAGAAATGCGGAGAAGAGAGGAATATCAGTGAGCTAAAGTCGAGCGGACTCGGGACGTAGCGTGCTACAGGAACGACATAGATACCGGCCGTTTGGTTACCACTCAGCCGACATCACGGGTAGCATCACGGCAGCGAGGCGGATTAACAAAGAGAGAAAGAGAGAGGAAGATAGCAGGCGAGGACCATATAGGAACCTGAGGACCGATAAAGCGCTGGAGAGAAAAAGACAGAGAGAGAGAGAGAGAGACAATGGAAAATACGTCGGCGAAGACGAACGGTGGAATACGACGATGTATCGGTAGCAAGAGAGAGAGAGAGAGAAAGAAAGAACGATACGAGACAAAGGAACGACGAAGGGCGAGCGGGAGCATACAGAGAAGGGTGATAGCAGGAAGAAGGAAAGCGCGAAAGGGGAGATGCGAAGAGAGGAAGAGAAAGAGAACGCATGGGCATCGGCGGTAGGAGGAGAGCCGCCGGTCGCAGAAGTGGAAGTGGTGAAGGATATGTGAAGTTGTGTGGAGGAGAAGAGACAGAGAGAGACAATAACAGAGAAAGAAAGAGAGAGAGAGAGAGGATAGGCACACGCGAATCGATTAGATGCGCGCGCGGTCGGCCATTTTGTTGCCGGCTCACCGGGGGTTGCAGAGGCGTGGATGCTGGACGGCGTCGACTCCGATCACGACGACGAATCCGATCGTGCTCGCGCGTCGCTCTCTCGCGTTCGATAGGACGCGCGCGCGATCGTGGACGCCCGAAGATGGTGGGGAAGATTAGAGCTCGAGTCGGGGTGAGCGAGAGAGGGGATGATTGTCGTGGTAGTGGAAGGGAGGAAAGGGAGGAAGTGGTGGCAGCAGCGTAGACGAGCGGCGGTGACGAGAGCGAGCGAGAACACGGGTAGTGGTAGGGGAGAGTCAGACAGTCTCTCCGGTTAGGTTGGGTCGGGCTTCTCGAGCAGACTATAGCGAGACACCTAACTGGCAGTCAGTGGCTCCCGGGGCCCTGCGTCGTCAGTCTCGTCGGGGTAGTTTCGTGCAACCTCTTCGTGGGTCTCTCCTCCTCCTCTCTCTTTCTCTCTCTCTCTCTCTCTCTCTTTCTCTGACTCTTTCTCTCTCTCCCAGTGCCTCCCCTTTCTTTCTCTCTT